CAGCAGTGAAACCTTTGCAGCCCTCTGTGCTCACTTGGGAGCAGCCTGGTACCTCCGTCAGCAATGATCCCAGACGGGCAAGGAAAACAAATTGAGAGAGCGGTCCCAGAGAGACCCAAGGTCCCTCAAGGCCATTTCAATGTCATGAGGAAACAAAATTTTCTCCTTTTTTTCCCAGTGAGGATGACACCCCACGTTGTCCAGCTTAGTGCAGACAGTTCTCCTCTTTTCAGAGAGACCTCTTCTAGCTGACTGACGTGCAGTTCAGCTCTGTGGGGGCCTGCCTGCCTGCTGCCATGACTCCCTCCGGCCCATCGGCGATACTGGGCTCACTGGAGCACTGCCGGTGGCTAAAACTGGGCTGCAGGAGGAGGCACTTGTCGGTGCTGTCCGACTCCTCGATCACCATTCCCGTGTGCATCATGGAGGCCATCGCCAGGAGCTGGATATCCGAGTGGGCGTTGGCGACGGTGTGGCGGCGGATGCTCCCGCATTTCTCCAGGTAAGCCTCGCCCTCCTGCTCCGTCAGCGGGGTCAAGGCTGTCTCGCTGGGCTGCTGGCTCGGCACCACATGAGAGGAGTAATTCAGCATTTTAGGACGGGATCTGGAGTACCGCCTCTCTGGAAGAGAAAAAAGAAGCAGGTGTGGGCAACGGGGCGCAGGGAAAGCATCGCGATGCTGGTCTCAGGGAAGCAGAAGGAGTCGGTGTGCAGCCACAGTGCACCCAGGGAAGAGCCAGGTGCTCAGCAGCTCGTACTGCTGGTGTTTGGGGAGGACGCCTGCCTTTTCTGTGAGAGAAGCAAGACAAAAAGGGAACGAGCGCAGCAAAGGGACTTGCTTCTGCAACCACACGGTCTCATCGCTTACTAGCAGCTCAGCCAGGAGCTCCCACTCACAGGTACACAAAAATCAGCGACAATGAAGTGGCACAAGTCCCCGAGGAAACACCCAGCGAGGACCTGAGTCACCATCCCTTTCTCTGGGGAGTTTCTGTGAGGAGGTGGTGTCAGCTGGTGTCACTGGGACTGCCCCGACCTTACGCTGCTCTGCCTCTCCCGCTGCTGAAGGAAAGGTGGCTCTGCTAGCATTATCCCACCAGATTTTTTTAAGATTATGCAAGAAAAAAAAAACCAAACACATTTACTGCACTTTAAAACACATCTGGTTTGGGGGTTAGACACTACAAAGCACCTAGGAGTGATCAGCAACAGCCACCACAGCCCAAGGGGAAGGTGCAGAAGGGGAAGGCAGTACTTGCCCGGCAGAGGCGAAGGCGGTGACTTGGAATTGATGAGTGCAGGGTCTACAATCTGGTCAGCAACAAGCTTAAGGAGGACAAATGCCTGGTTTAAAACCCAAGCCCAAGGCGCAGCTCTCCAGCCCTGTGTTATGAGGAAACATTTCAACTCTGACACGGAAAGCTTTAAGAAAAGCAGGGGTTGGAGTCTGTGCCCTGGCTCGCTGTAATTCCCTCCTCCAGCAGGCTGAAGTATATTACTTTTCACCTGCTGCCTTCCCCTGCTGGGCAGCATTGCCATGTGGCGTGAAACAATTCACGTGGGCTGTGGCCGAAGCAACTGATAAAACTATTCCCTGCCTGTCTCTGTTTGTCACCATCTTCCAGTGTCTCATTTCCTAAAGTTGGAAGCCTTTAAATTGTATAAAACATTTCCACCAAGAGTGCAGAGCCCGAGAGAGAGAGAGTAACAAAATGCAAAGCAAAGCACCCATTACCAAAGGTTATAAAAGAGCTTTGGAAGCTTGCATCAGGAAGAAAAGCAGAAAACAAACTCTATATTGTTGCAGGGAGGAGCGGGTGAGCAGCCAAAACTCCACCACTGGCAGCAGCCAAGCTATGACAACACTTCACTCCGCTGCTGCCAGTAATACATTCATTCAAAATGGCTCGTTTCATGCTTAAGAATATGTGCAAATAATTTTTGAGGCTGGTTACAATTAAAAAAGACTCTTTAGACGTCACCTGCAGGTCAAGCTACAGCAAGCTGTAGTGTTGGAGGGGATTGGGACCTGACTCTTGAGGAAAAAAAAAATATTCACAGATGACTTTTGTGCAACAAAATTGAAACCCTTTATGATAAGAATCAGGTCAAAATGAGATTAAACTCTGCACTTTGAAAATACAGAGATTCCGTGTAGAAAAGTGCTGCTCTGCTGTCAATGTCGTGCAATGCAAACACGAGTTCTTCCTTTCCTCCCACTCAGCAGACGGTGGAACGGGGGCAAAAGGCCACCTTGGAAATGCACACAAATAAATGACAGCTAAAATCAAAGTCAATACAATGATTTCAAGGCCCATAAAATTTACTAAGCCGGCTCGTGTGATTTTTTTTTTTTTATGACACTAATGCCTTGTTCAGCTGGCAGAAATCCAGGAGAGCTAGAAACATCAGCAGAGGTCAGGCAGCTCCTTTTCAGACTTTCCCAGCAGCACGCAGGTGTCCCTAACCAGCAAACCAATCCCATCTTTTACGCTCTAGGTTTCACTTCAGGATCAGCTCTGCAAATCAATGCTAAACTGCATAACCACGTTTGCTTGCACAGAAGACATTTAATTGCCCAACAGTCACAAGAGCAAAAGCTTCGAGCCCCAGTTTGCCTAACGTGACGCCATGAGTTTTTTATAGGCACAGATCATCAGAATCCTGTTTAGTTCTTCTACTGCAAGACCATCTTTTCCTCTGAGCGACTAAGACGTAGTACGAGACAAGTTGTACGTCTCCAGCTACAGTCTGCATCAAAACAAATGCTAGAGCTTATAAAAACAGAGGGAGACTGGAGATTTCTTCAGCTGTTCTACTTAAATCTTCTTGCCTATGAGGCCAGCATCGCTACGCTCATCTCTTTGCTAGCCAATCTCTTCCAGCTGGTCGCCCATGTAAGCAGAGCTTCTGGATCACATGCGGGGAAGTTTTCCTCTAGGAGTATCTCCCTCCTGAAGTGAAATGTCAGTTCTCTGCCCTAGACCCATTTATCCACAGTTTAAACACAGATGTGCACCACCTCCCATCAACCAGCCTGCATACCCCGAGAGCTTCCACACAACGTGCGTATCTTACCAAGCAGGCAGGTGCTGCCAGAGAAGCTGTGATCCTCACACAGACCCAAGTACGGCGACACCACCTGCTTGACCAGTTCTTCCAGCTGTAGGTAGCCCTCACTAGGGCCAGCAGGTTCATGGACGCTCTGAAATTCAAACATTAAAAAGAGTCAACATCAGCCTCGTTCGGGTTTGAGCAAGGTTTTTCAGTAAAGCCTTGGGTCTGTCAAACGTCTCTGCACTGGAATATCCCAGCCATATCAGCAGACCATAGCTGATAAGCCCAAATGGAAACTCAGGTGCCATTTAGGTCAACCTCCTTGTGTCACAGCCACAACGCTATGGACATCGAGCAGCCAGCTGTTGTTTTTTTGCCCAAGGGACAGGGGGGTAACAAGGTCTGCTCACACCAAGGATTTGCACAGCCTAACTGCAGCAATATGATTATACCAGTGTAGTTGTACCAGGAAACATCTCTTTGTAGAAAAAAAAGCCTTGGGCAAAGCACTGCTCTTTTCCTAGGCAGGACTGCAGGAAAAGTACCCTCCGCAGTTCAGCTTACAACGGTGAAGATGGTAGATAACACCAACCAATTTAACAGTAATTTTAGAAACCGTTCACAGACTTTACTTCCTGCAAAGCCTCTGTGAGTTTTTCTTTCTCATATGTGTTGCTCTGAGACCCTCTTTGTGCTCAAGATCCTTTTATTAAAATACTTCAGGGAAACCGAGCCAGGAATTTAGTATCTCCTTCTATTGTAGTCTGGGTCACTGGGAACGTCAGGGCAGCAAGAACTCATACAGAAATACCAGCTTAGCCAGTTGACAATTGTGATTGTAATTCAGAGAGTTTCATTCCCCACCACTCATTATAAGGTATATTTGAGGAGAAACAAAAGTGAGAGGAACCCAAACAGCCACTTCTAATACAGTATTTTGCAGGACTGACAGGCTGGCTGATAGAAGAAAATAAACCAGCTGATATACTTGGCTGTAATGAGCATGCTTGGAAAATACTCTCTTGAGGTCTGGATAAAGAGGACAGTCCTCACAGGAGGTCTGGGTCTCTTGGGAGAAGCCTTTGGAAGATGGATAGCATTTTGCCTGCTGCCAGAAGGTATTGCTCCTCTCACGGGCACTGCTCAGCTTCCCAGCCAGCAGCCACGTGTCACTTCAACGGACGCTCACTCACATTGCAAAGGTGGGAAACCAGGAGAAAAAGGGCACAAAGGGGCGTGCAGAGAAGCTGGGAGGTGAAAATCTACCTGAAGAAAAAGAGGCCTAAGACTGTTCCTAGCTAGGGAGGAGAAACACCAAAGAGAAACCAGCCCTTTCACAGCAGCATCCTTACCTGTTCCCAGGAAAGCTCAAGACATCCAAAGTCAGCTCTCGTTTCTACACTGATCGCTCTCACGTAAGCACACATCCCTTCACCACACCCTGCACCCTCCCCACTCTCCTCTCCAGGGCTCACTGAGGTCGAGATACCCAAGCAGAGTCAGGCAAAGAAGAGCAGAGACTCCCCACCTGCAGAATTAACAGCATCTGGACAATGGAAGCTGGGAGTTTTGTCCGGACCAGAGGGAGAATTTCTTCCAGCTTTAATTTTAGCAAGACCAAGTCTCTGAAGCCAAGCAGAGCAATCTGACGAATAGTCAGCTCCTGACCCTAAAAAACACAGAAGACAAAATCCAAGAGTTGGTAGAGGCTCGCAATGAGCATTGCACCGACACACGTATGGAAACACGTATGCACACAGACATGCTGCCCGTCGCTGCTGTGTGCTTTGCCAGCTGCTCGGGTCGAGGATTCACGGTGCTCTGTGGTTGCTCGCCTCTCAGTCTCCGCGCCACACAAATTCTGAAATGAGTAACACCTCATCCAAGGCACCATTAGGTTTAGAGCAAAGCCAAAACCAGGCCTCTGTTTCACCAGAAGACTCTGTACTCCTGAAACCCAACTGCCATCCAATTTGGCTGCAAGCATCTGAAGTCCAGGATGGCTGCAGCTCATGTTTTTGGCACTCAGAGTTGAGAAACCAAAGAAGGTTTGGTAGGAAGAGAAGTTGGTACAGAACATTCCTAAGCTTATCTCCAGTCTGTGTTGGATCTTCTTTTTGCTCAACGTCTGCACTTTAGACCTTGCTGATGTGACAAAACCCCACAAACTCATTGCGGATTTTAGGATTTAGGCTGGAGCAAAGCTAGCAAGACTGCTTGTACCAAACGTCATTTGGAAAAGCAACAGCTTTAGTTTCCTTTGCACGGCGCTCCCTATCCTCCCAATTACTTCCTTACATCAACAACACAAGGCTCAACAGATGAAGATGTTGTAATGTTTCTCAGCTTATTTAAACACAGTCGGACTCCATATGGCATCCTGGTGTCACTGTCTTCCCCTCTGCTATGCTTAACACCAGCACAACTTTCTCCTGCCCCACCGCTGCTTAACAGCAGAAATTTTCCTCCCAGCCCTGCCCAGCACTTCTCCAGCCTCAAGAGTTTGCCTTGTTCTTCCCAGAACCTTAATCTCTGCCCCACAGTCTGTTTGGGAACCATTTTATGGTCTCCATAACACACTCAATATGGCAAATATTTAGCTGGAATGAATTAACAGCAGTTAATCATTAAATCATAATGGGTTTAATGCCATAATTAACAGCATCATCAATATGTAAATACAAATTAAAGCAAATAATCTAGAGGGCAGCTTGGCCGTAATAAAAGCACTTTCCTCTTTTTAAGCCATTGCTGTGTATTTAGAAACGTGGAGGTGTGGAAAACACCGGTCCGTATTTCTGAACCGTATTTCAGCAGCTGCACACTTTTTATTTATATCACGCAGTTTAGTCCCATTAACTTCATACCCCATTTCCCAATGCAAACATCTCGCTGTGCCAAACAAAACAAGATTTGCTATTCTTTTTTTGCACACCGAGTAGTTACATCAACAGCTGCAACTATACAAAAGCCAGTGACCTGTTTACATAGTTTCCCTCTGTACAGCAATTGAACCAACTTGGCTGCTTAAAGGTCATATTTCTGCAACAGCTCCGAGTCTGGGCTTTAAACTTAGCCGAGATAGGAAGCTACTTCTAGCTACTACCCCGGGTAACACACGCTCACACATTTGGCTGCCTTAGTTTCATTCTGAGTGGGCAGTTGGTGGGATCACCAAAGAGCACAACTGAACGATCAGGTCGACATTTGCAGCAGCAAAGATGGGGAATCACCTCCAAACTGACTTTCCCAGCTACGGGAGCAGCGTGGGAAGGACTTGGTGAGAGAGACCCACTGGGTGAGCTCTCTTCACATGACACACCGCGTAAACAGGGGCGTACAGCTCCCTGCTTGTAGGAAGGGCCCAATCTTGTTATTTAGGGCACTGGCCTGGGATAAGAGCAATTTCTTACTTCTTGCTGCACCAGCAAGTCCCTCTGTGGTAGCCTAGGGTAGCTTACTCAGAATCAAATTCTTGGAGGTATTAAGGTGATTTAAATTTATAGGTTTGTAGGACTTAAGTGCCTACAAAGCTTTAAATATTCCATCTGTTACCTTTTGGTTCCTCATCCATAAAATGGCAATTCTTCTTTAACTTCATAGCCTCTACGATATATTTTGGAGTGACTGATTTCATGACAAGACGAATACAGTCAGAAAATTACACTTTCAAAGAGTCTCAACATGCCGTAGTAGTGCTTTCACCACTACCACCAAGTTACTTCCAAAAGCTGCACCCACTGTGCAGTAACTTCTGTTCAGTTTCTCATTAGAGATGTTTAATAGCCGTGGAGCAATTTTTTTTTTGTCTTTTGGAAGACTTATTAGCACCAGTGGCTATGGCACGCAGTTAGCTCAGCTGTTTCCACAGTGCACAGATAACTGCAGTGCAGATGCAGACAGGCCCCTGCTTAAAGAGATCAGATCACTCCCTGACTGAGAATTAGTTGCAAAAAGGGAGAAAGGGAGGATATAACAGTTGTGCAGTGTTACCTGCCAAACACCTACCTTCAAGCATCTGCAGCAAGGAAAGAACAAAAATAAACACAGTAGAAAGGTTAGTGTCTGTCTTTGCAGAAGTCCGTCTTCTTTTAGGAAATGTCAGCTTTAATAGGTTTAGAGGGAAATGACAACCTTTGAGTTTTACCTGCTGCCTTTCAAACAACACGAGGGGGAAATAACTTTAAAAGGCTCTAGGAAAGTACGTCTTGTGGAAGAGGCAAAAGCCAAGAGGAGGAGGTGAGCGTTTCCCAGAACGCCGCCCTCCTCACGAGCTACATTTTTCTTTTCCTCTGATGGAAGAGGAGATTAAAATAGGCTGGGGAGGTAATTAAAGTGCTCATACGGAAACGCTGACTAAAACTATGTTAAAAAATTATAAAGCTCAACACTTCCAATGGGATACTCAGCTTTCAAAATACTCCGTGTAAACAAGTCTTGCATAAAGCTGGGCATTCTTCCCCTACCTATAGATTTACCAATCCCCTTATTAAAGCTTAAGAAGAACCCAACCAACCAAACAAAAAACCCAGCAGAGGATTTTCCAAAGGCACGGCTGGGACACATTAGCCCTCCAAAGGTAGTTAGGGTGAGTTAAAGCACGTTTGCTCCAGCTCTCATCTTCAGATTTGTTCCTCTGAGGACAAGTTGTCAGCGTTGTCATCCACACCAACAGTCCCAGATGTTTAAAAATGGAAGAACCATAAATAGAAATGGCCCGGAGCTTCAGTCTGGACAAGGTATATAGTCCAATGATTTCAGCATTCAAGCTTCGCACTGGCTGAGGGTAGACAAAAGGGAATAAATTCAGCCCCAAGCACTGTGCTTGCCTAGCAGATTCTCACACTCCTTACATGGCTAAGGCTGATTTGGGGAAAATCTATTTCCTCCCAGATTCAGTTTAAAGGTTTTGAGATCCATTTAGCCAGTGGCTGAACAGTGCTGCTGGAACACTTACATTGTTTCATTTGACTGAAGGCTGAATTATAATTAAGATTACCTGGACTGGGTAGAATATTGCCTGGAGTGTAGGAAGAGTCTCCGTAAAATAGTGATCCCAGATTTCAGACAGGACATCAATGCGATCCTCACCTACGGAAATAGAGCAAGAGGGAGAAACAGCTTTAGGGACAGAGACACTAAAACCAAGTTGAATTTTCCCACGACTCTCCAACTCCCCAAACAAGAGGCACAAACCTCCCTTCACATTCACCATTTCCACCCAAAACTGGATGTTGTTCAGCTCACAGCCAGCACGCTCAACGCACCTTAGGAACTGACGCTGAAAACCAGCAGGTCACAGCCAGCATCAGGGAGACTGAGCTCAGCCAGGGAGACCACTGGGAAGAGCTGAGCCCCCACTCCCCAGCCAGACTTGGGGCTACCTCTCACACGACTCCGACTCAAACAAACATCCCCAGCTGTAAGTGGGTGTTTAAAACAAAGGCAGGCTGAGTTACACAACTCATGATTCCCCTAACAGGAATACAACTGTGGTCAAAAGCCTATTATTAACAAAAATAAAATGCTTTACTGAACATCGTCACTTGAATAGACATTTTAAATTGTGCTCACAGGCTTGATTTGCAGAGCTCCGTGTTTCTCAGCAGTTGGACCCAAAGCCTCTAAGTTTTTTTAGGAGATTTTTCCCACCCCAAAGGCCAAAGGTTTCCAATATTTCATCGAGTTTTAGATACATCCTGCAGAAATTTCAGGTGCAAATACAGACACAGGTTTGATAACACAAGGTTCTGACAAAAGGATTTTCCAGGACACCTTCCACAAAGCCTCAGCTGGACCAAAAAGGCAGCCAAGCCTCAAGGAGCAGTAAGGAACGGAAGGCAGCTGCTCAAGGCAGCTTTGAAGGCTCAGCCTCAAGGTGACTAAAGGCCCTACAGGAGGGACAAGAACACATGTAAAAGTGCCACTCAAAGGAGCCTTATCCCTGTGAACTGAAGTGCCTTTCCCATCTGGGGACTTCCCACGTGGGTTTTCACTGTGCTTGCCCGTGCATTGAGCTGCTCAGGACACAGCCAGAGAGCAGAGAGACAGCAGGGCCAGGTCCTGCAGACGTTTTCTTTTGAGCAGAGAGCCCGCTGACAACCGCAGGAGGTTTCAGAGGGAGGCTTTGGGTATGACACCAGCTTCAAAACTGGAACTGCAGGCAGACGAACACCTACCCAACACTCCCATAACAGCTGCCCACTGCCAGCAAGTGCCAACCCTAAGTGAAGGTGACAACAGGAAACAGGCTAATTGAAGGTTTAAATTTTTCCCTCCTCTGCCTCCTCCCCAGGACTGCAACGCTCTGGTGTGTGGAGCCAGAACGAGACGTCGCACATCACTTGTCCTTCTGAAGGAGAAAGGGGAATGGTTTGCTTCTTCAAGAAATCATAAATCCTACAGGCATTGAAAGAGATTCTGACAGACTGCATAGAGAAAATCACATTAAAATAAGGGGCTGTGATTTGAAAAACAGACACAGTAAAACCTTGCCATGCCCTGCAGCAGGGACATGATTCCAGCTCTGAGTACTGGGACAGAAGAAATTTTCCAGGAAGGCAGAGCTAACCGAGAAGCGTGTACAAGTTCTTGTTGCTGTGACCACAAAACCTGCAATAAGCCTATACGTTATCAAAGAAAGGTGCCCGTGAGTCATCTCCTGCAGAGATGTCAGCTGGCACAGGCTGTGTCTCCAATGTCACTTCAAACTAGGGACAAAAAAAAAAAAAAGAGGCACAGGAAGAGGGTTTTGCTCTCTGCCTGGGAAACTTCCTCGCACCTCAACTACTTGTGCAGCTGCAGACTACTCCCAGGCAGCTCTCAGCCTCCTACAGACTGACATTCGATTTTTATAATGCCAGAACAGATACTAGAATAGTCTGATATGAATACAGGAAAAAAAAACTGCAATAAGCTGCACAGCGCTCATTCTGAAGAGCTGGAAGAAGCAGGGCAGGTACCCTCATATGGGAAAATGCATGAATCTGCCTTTTTTTCCTCCCTTGGAAAGGAAGGAAAGATCCTGCTGGGTGTGTGCCAAAGGAGCAACTGCATGGCTCCGGTGGGGTCCGAGTCCTACAGTTTGCTGGCCAGGTGGAGAAGTCACTTGGCGAAGGATGGTGCAGAGGAATCCAGCATCAGCAATGACATGAGATTATAAATTTCTATTGGCATTTAACGACCCAGATACAGCAGGTTGGTGATTAGCAAGGGACCTTCCCTCCAGGCTACAAAACTGGGTCAAATCAAACAGCAGCCTGGTTTTGAATAGAGACATGTGCTCCAGAGAGCTCGCTCTGCTTGAGCAATCTGTTAATAAATGTGACTAACTCCCCACACATCCAACACCGAGAGCTGCTCGGCCACGCTGGCTCTGCAGCAGCACTCGTCTGTACCCCAGGGGCTTGAACAAAACTTCATGTGTGATCAACTTCATTCCTGAAGGATTTTGTTCCCATCCAACTGACGGGTTTGAGGTTTTTTTCTTTAAACTTACACGCAGCCTGTTGGTTCAGCTGTCGAAAGTGTGGCACAGTAACCAAAACGGTGCTTACACAGAGCTGCAGATCACATTGAGAAATAAAAGGCAGAAGGCAGCTCCCAGCAGATTTGCAACAGGATCCACGCACAGCCCAAAACTACTTTGATCCTGGGTTCAACGGTGAAGATGCGGCTGGTGGGAGTGTTGCAGCTACGTGGCTTTTCAGAGAGTCCACCACCCCTTAAGTCTCACCAGGGCTGCAGAGCAACCTGGCTCCCAGGAGGTTGTGTGGCAGCCTAAGACAGCACCAGAAAGGTCTGTATGTTTTCCAGACACGTGAATCATCTTGTCTGACCAAACATCAGAAGCACAGCTCCCTTCCAGAATGGGTTTCTTACTGTACTTGCCTTCACACAGCTTAACCTTCTCCTCTATAAACAGCAAGCCTTTCACAAGGAGCTGGTTCTGCCAAGAGAGAAGAGAGACATGCGTTTTCCTTTTCTGAGATTTCAAATAAACACGGAAGAGTAAGTTTTATTCAGATGTTATCCACTCTGCATGCAGTTATCTCAAGATTAGTCCTACCACAGTACTTTCTCCCAGCAGACCTAGTCTCACTGCGAGTGCTAGATATTCATTCACCTCCCCTCGCTCTGCCAGGCAGGAGAACACAACAGACACAGAAGACAGTTGCCAGAATTGGGAAGGAAGGACCTGTCCTGGGTCACAGGGAGAGAGTCAAGAAAATAAAATTGTTTGTAATGTAAGAGCGCAGCCACATAAGCCATACCTCAGCCATATCGCAGAGGTGGTCGAGGGGCCAAACGCTACCAAAACACCCCACTCCTTTCTGTTGTACTAGCTCAGTGCTTGCCTGACTGCACAGCCCAAAACCTTACTTCTCTAGTTCTACCTATTCTCTTTCTCCAAGCCTTTTTTTTTTTCCTCCTTATATTGAGCAGTTGGATCACGTCAGTATGGTGTCCCGAGCTGCAGAAGAAGTGGCAGGAGCTAGTCTTTCGAGATAAAATTAGCTAGCGCGGACCAGACAAATCAGGACATCTAAGTATCTGATAAGTTTTCTGTTCCCATGTCCCCAAACATAAGAACATAAAAACAACACCTACCTGTTTTTCCTCCCAACTAGGAGAACCAGTTAAGCTGAAAAGCTTTGAGACTCCCCAAGAAAGGAGCTGCTATCACCACACTATTACTGCAGCCTAAAAGGCTCACTCTCGTCACAGATGATACCAACAGAGAGCAAAGCCCTCTGCCATGGAGCCACAGAATGGTTCGCGTGGGAAGGCACCTTAAAGATCACCTCGGATTTTGCGAGTAGGTCGAGGCTGAGAGACTGCAGAGACACCCTATCAGTAAGGAAACGTCTCTCCATGCACTGTCCTGCTGGAGAAGTTTTATTCAAAAAGGTGTCAGGTAGGAAAACATCGAAATTAATAAAATTGGGGACAGAATTCAAGGAACTGCTTTCGGTTTGGAACCCCGCCGCACGCAAGGCGAGCTCCCGAGGCCCCGTGGGGCTGGGTGCCGCTGCGATTCTCTAGCAGAACTATAGGTATGGGTGGGATCTCCATTCAAATTTTAGATTTGTTCCGCAGAAATAAGTGACAGGTGTCAGGCTCTGGAGAACAACAAAAAAAGACTTTCCAGGAAAGAGTAAACAACACACGAAAGAAGCAGGAAGAAATCTGGAATGTAAAAAAAAATTACGAGGGGGGGGAAAAAAAATAAAACAAACCAAAAACAAAGTGAAACCCACTTACTGTTCAGGCCAAAACAGAGTGTAAGATAACATTTGGAGTGATATTGCACTTTATTAATAAGCTGAAAGCATTTGGAAGTATTAAAGTACTTCAATCCTTTATTTTTCAACCTATAGCTCAAGGTGATAACAGCTCATATACTGCAGGGAATGAAACTGTCTCATTTTAAACTACTATATAATAAAAAAAAAATATATATGCATAAAGGTATCATGCTTATTTTCTCATGTTTCTCACAAGAAATATGAATTCCTTCTCTATCTGCACTGGAACATTACGTTTCAATTTACATATTTGTCCTGAGCACTACAGATAGAATTTTCCAGCTATTTTGCTTGTAAGTTAGTATTATTGATGCTTTCTGCTTTCAGAGGGGGTTTTTTATATTATTTTACCACTGTGTCAGCAAACAAAGCATGCTTTGGCACACCTTTATGGGCAGCATAGTTCTAACTGTTAAAAATAGACACATTAATCATTACCTGGTAGTAAAGGATTTATGATGCTCTTTTGAATGTATTATCCATAATTCCATGTGCTAAGTAGCTTGTGTCAACTCATTGGGGTTTTTTTAAATAAAAAAGAAAAGAAAAAGTACAGCTCCATACAGTTACTAAAGATTGTTTCAATTATCCTCTCAAATTTTCCATTTTCCTGTGGAAGAGAGACATAAAAACCACACCAAACACATTTCATTTCCCTTCTTTTCGATCTTAAAAATATCTGAAAATTTTACTTATCTGTCATTTCTGCTAAAATCATAGGCTTAGAAATAGATTCAGCCTGAACATTGGCCCCTCAGAGCAAGCCAGACAGGTAAATTTTCATTAAGAAACCCTATAGGGTTTGCTGACAAATCAGTACAGTCCGATAAATGCAGGCGCAGCAGAGGTCTGAATCAGACCTAAATGACAAATCTCACTCAACTGCTTTATCTCTGGTTGCCGGAGGCAACACAGAGGTGCAGAGCTAAGAGGAAAAATAAACCTTTTATTTGCAAGCAAGACCAGATAAAGACACCGACTGAGCTCGAAGGGCAGGTTTTTTGGAAAAAGTTTAGCTGCCACCTTCAATCTCGAGAGATTGCTCCCTTTGCTAAAAGGGAGCTTGTGAAAGCTCACAGGTTGAACCCCTCGACTTTTCTCAGCACAGAAAACCACAAATAACTGTTTCAGGCATATACCATCGAGTCGTGCAGCTAAGAGAAAGCCTTCAAGTAAGTTCTCAAATGCCCTGAGTTTTGGAAGAGAGGATTTAAAGCTCTAGAAAAAAAGAAAAAAATCACTTTTAATTTTTCTTGTCTTAGTAAAAACCCTTCAAAAAATTTACATGTTCTTCCTACTCTTGAAAGTAAGCTGTGCTGGAATGGCTGGGAATTAAAAAAAATAGAATTTGAAGGTAGTCACATGCTACGCTAGAAAACATGGACACTTTCCAGGTAATTCCTTCTTTTTCCCAGGATGGATATTCTCCCCTTCCCATCCTGTTACAGAAACTGAGGAATAATTGTAGTTCCTGCAGCGCATGTAGTTCCTGCAGGTGGAAGCTGTCCCAGGCACAACAGCAGTGCCAGGCACCTTCTCCATCCCTCCACCTCGTCAGGAGCCGGTCATCCTCAACAGGGACCCTTCCTCTGTGGGCTCCTGCTACGTTCCAGACCAAACGGTCCCCCTCCCAAAGGAAAATCAGATATTGTGGGTTGGGAATGCTCCGACAGCCTCCAGGCAGAACCAAGGATTTGGGGGTGACAGTCGTGCCACTAGCACATCTCGCTCTGCTGTGGGTGGTGGGTTCAAGGAGAAGGGTTGCAAAAAGCGGCTAAGCCGCTGCTCTTGAGGAGGGGAAAGTTTACATGAACACTTGCCTAATCACAGACAAATTCTGTTTTCTCTTCGTGTCCCCAAGCTGAACGTGGCCAGTACGCCTTTAAGAAGCCACAGCAAAATTAACAAATTAATACCAGTTCATCAAACAGAAACATAAGCTTGGAAGAGGAGTAAAGTGATCCAGAGCAAACTGAAGATAATTGACCCCATTTTGTTGGGTGAGAAAAAAAAAATATCATTTTTCTTCATCTACACATTACAGCCTCCTCTTTGAACCAACTGAAACGTTGTCTTCTAGTGTTAAAACAAAATTTTATAAGCTCTACAAGCACATAGCCACTGTTTCTTGGATAATCTGTTGTTAATTTGAGAAAAAATAATCACCCAAACTTACTTGGCAAGTATTTTCTACAAAGTTACTGCCAGTTGCACACAAACACCTACCTACTTCTTGGCAGTGTTTTACAAAACGCACATTTATGTGAGCTGCAGCATCTCAGAGCTGGAGCATGCACCCCCCCCATCTTTTTTTCTTCCCCCCTCCCTCTAGAAAGAGAAGAAATAGTGACAGAAGCAGAGAGATCATTTCAGTCCTACCTGGGGAAAAAATTGCAAGATCAATATGAAATAACATCCTGAAATGACTGTTCTAGAGACAACTTTGTTCAAAACAGATTAAAGAAAAAAAAAAAAGCCCACTAAAAGAGAAAGTGATGCAGGGAGAGTAAGAAGGAGACCAGAGCAGGCAGCAGGGCCAGGACGCAGACCATGATGCGAGGCAGCAGCTCAGGGAAAACCCCGCGGCCGGGCCCCCCAGCTCCGAGTCACAGCTCCAGGCAGGGCCCTGCTCAGCCAGGCCATGGCTTTTGGTGGTAGCAACCAGGCACCACCTCAAGCGAACCACACACCCCTCTGGGGCCCATGGGTGCAGGGGGTTTTGGGTTGCCCCTCCTGCCGCTGCCCCCCAGGGCTGGGTCCTCGGCTCGGCTCGCAGTAACAGGGCTGAGCTGCGGGTGACCCCGTGGGTGATAACGAAGCTGGGCAGTTGCTATGGAGTCTCTGGAGCTGCTCCATGACAGCTCAGTCCTAGAAAGCAGCAGGTGAAGCAGAAATAATTAGCAGACCTGCATGAACAGGGGTTCCCAGTCAGTGAGGACAGAAATACAATCACACAGACCAGTTTGACACAAAAGGGTACTGCAGACATACGGCTGAGCTCTGCGAATCCCCCAAGTGTGAATTCTTTCCCCGGAGCAGTGGCTGAGCTGCTGCAGGCCCTGGCAGGCAGGAGACATCACTTGGCCAGAGAAGAGCTGCTTTTACCCAGCAATAACCCTCAGCCCAGCTACCTGCACAACTATTTCCTCACCTCACTGCAAAACAGGTAGAAGCAGAAACCTGGCACCAAGGAAAGAAATGTCACATGCACCAGGTTTTTCTCTTTGACTAAGCGGGAGAAAGGGACACACAGCATTTCCAGCTGGTGGCATGGCTTTACAAAGCAGCTTTTCGGAGGAGAGCAAGCCTCATGAGAGATGCTGGACAGGCTGGAGTCCCAGAAAAACACACAGTGGGGACTTAAGCAAAAGCTTAAGTAGAGCGGGGAAGCATCTTCCCCTTATCACTGCAAAACCAGCTAACCTACAGCGAGAGGAACTCTGACCACGGGGAAGGTTCGTCTCTCCCACTTCTGCCTGCTCCAAAGGGAAAGGGCAACATGAATTTCGGCTCGAACATGAACTTCCCTTGTCCCTGCTACCACTTACTTTCGCGGCTATCTATTACAATCTTGCTATTCTGACTTTGCTCGACAACCCCAGCAACATGGGTGCTCACACGTTGTGGTTTCTATGGTTTTGCAGACAAACAGAAAGCCAGGCCCAATTCTGAGTCAGGACTTGTTGTTTCCCGTGGCTCCCCACCTAAGCAGGCTGGAAATTATGTAATAGCTTTGCTTCTGGTTTTAAGACATCCAAGCTCTCATTAGATTAAATGAGGAAATGGTCTACTCAGAATTCCTCATCTTCCAGCGCAGACACTGGATGTCGGGCTGGAGAGGCACCAGCTCTGGGCATCTGGCTTTCTGCATCTCCAGTCCGTGGGTGCTGGGAGAGGTTACAGGGCCTGCGAAGGGATCGAGTCTCTCTGTCTCAGTTTGGAGCTAACGTGCATAAATCGGGCAGGTCTGCTGAAGTGGTTAGCTGTGAAATAGCTAACACTTCTGTTTTCCCCCATTAGTTTCAAGATTAAGGAGCCCGCAGAGAGGGAGAAGAAATAGTTTAGCCCTTCCGAACTCTTTGTTTCAGGGTGTTTGCAGAATCGGGGAGATAATGCATCAAGTTATCAACACTCGCTAGTTTACTATTTCAAAAGTTTTCTCCACAAGGAGGGTCAGACAGCATAAAAGTGAAAGAAGCTTATCTGAAAAAAAATCAAAACCCCACATTACAGCTGCCTCAGAGAAATCCCAATCACCAATACACCCTGCTCCTCCAAATCCCAGCCTCTTCCACAGTCACAGGATTCTTGCCCACCGGGGTTCAGCTGGCCACCCAAGAACTAAGCCAGCAGAAGGCTCTTTGCTGGGTGCCAGAGCAGAGGGCTAAATACGAAGTGCCCCTTCTCAATAGCAAGAAACTCTCAGGCCCTGGAAAACCTGGAGCCTGAAGCATTGCTTTAAGGCAGCTCTGCAGCAAGTATTACAAGTCCCAGCTCTCTGGCATATACACTCCAACTCTGATCCAAGGAGATGGCTTGTGTATATAATAAAGCAGCAGATTTATAAACACAAATCTCCTTCAGAATGAAACATCTGAGTTCCCACTGAAGCCCTTGCAGGAATTCCATTTCGCTTTGACAAATACAAAACAGACTCGGTAATTTCGGTATGATGATGGTTTGGTTGCAGAGGAAGACTGTCTAAACCCCATCCGTTTCCTAAATCTTCCTTTAGCAACTTCAGGAGCTAAAAACGGGTACTTTTTATGAGTATTGGTGAAAAGGACTCGCAAGCAGTGAAGTTGATCACAAAGAAATATTTGTCTCACTATAAAAGCTTTGCTCCATCTTAGTCTTAAATATTCAGTGGTTAGAAAAATTACATGTGTGTATAAAATATACATAATGTAAGAACCAGAACCCTTTAAACAACGGAAAATGTGATTTTAAAAATTATCTTAGTGGCTTCTGTTTTACAAGTGCTCTGGCATAAGAAATGGAAAACGTTTAAGTCAATTTATCACAGTTAAATACTACATGATCCAGTTAGCTGCTCTAATTGCTGCTAGGGTATTTAAAACTGCATGGTTACACGTGAAAGCAGATCCCTTGGGGTCCATTTCAATCCAAGAGCACAGTAAACCTGGTTCTTGTGATAGCTTTTGAGGGGGCTTTAACAGATGGAGGAGGAAGCCACTATCCAAAGCTGTGCTTCCACTCCACTCCCCGTCCAGGTGATCTTCCATTGTCAGAGGCAACGAGCACAAGTCAAAGGAATAAGTTGAAAATTTTCTTTTTTTCTTCCAAGATTACTTTTCAGCCAAGTCAGCAGTTTGATACAACCCTGCACATTTTGGTGACAAGCAGCCTTCCCATATGTCAATAGGCATCAGCAGTGAAAGTGAACCCAAGGACAAATGATGTTGTCAGCCCTTCTCTGGCACAGCCCTTCTCCCCAACTCCACGGCCCAAGGATTTTTTGAGTAAAGGCGTTTGGGACGGAGCAGTAACTTTTATCACTGCCACGCGCTGCCAGTCTAGAATGTGAAATAAGTCTGCATCTGAGCTCACAGCGGGGGAAAAAAGCTCATTTCCTACAATAGCCTGTATCTCACAGTTTCTCTCATGGCTTGCCAGCACCAAGAGTTTTACTTCAGGCTAAGTCTGACAAATGCCAAGTCACTCCTTTTAACGAAGAAAAAAAAAAGAAGAAGAAGGAGAAAAAAAACAACAAAATGAACCCGAAATGAAACACGAGTCCCAGCGGCTGCAGTGGGAGAACAGCAGCTGCAGGTGCATGTACACCAAGGTATTTGCACAAGTGTGAGCTGAGAGATTGACAAAAAAAAAAAACCACACCAAATTCAGAGGCGAGCTGAGCCCTTCTACTGCACGCTCTGCCTCGGTGGTAGCATGGTGCCCAGTACCTGCACTGCCAC